TATATATATATATGTATATATATATATATATATATACCCGTATATAGTGTATATATATATATATATATATATATATATATATATATTGTTGACCTCGTTTTATCAAAGATGAATGCCCAAATTCATGGTCGTTGTACGAAGACAGATGCTACATGGCGATTCATGAAGAAATGACGTGGGATTATGGTCAGGTACATTGTGAATCTATGCAAGCTCATCTAGTGACGATTACGTCGGTTGATGAAAATGAGTTTGTTCGTGACTTATTTTCAGGATGCCTTTTCTCATTCTGGATTGGTTACAATGACAAAATCACGGAAGGCAATTGGGAATGGGTCACTGGTGAACCTAAAGTATTTGAAGGTAGGCCTATTTATTTACATATTGATGAATTTTATTTTTACTCATCTTTAACTTTTGATTCTATATGCCTGCTTAAAAAAAACAAAAAAAAAACAAAAAAAAAACAAAAAAAAGCAAGTACAATTTTTTTCCTTAAGCTTGTACTGTGTATGAAAGACGTCGGAAAGCCTTAAGATCATTTATTCCTAGGCCTGCATTTCAAGAACCGTGAATTGAAAATCATAAAATACCACTATATACCAACCACTATACAAGTGCATCATCCAAATTGTAAGGCCACAGTCTACCTTCATTTACAGCACTTATCGTTTTACATTGATCTCTGCTTGATTAATTCATGATCAGCATAATTAAGAATACATTATTTTCTGTCTCTGTTCGTGTTGTTCTTTCTAAATTATTATAGCCTAATACGCAAGGGCGTCGATATGTGGTTGAAAGTGGAGGGGACGAAATACAAAATATAAGAAAGGCTTGGTTTTAAGGAATGCAATTAACATTTCAACGCTACATTTTCAAAATACAGTGGCGGATCCAGAAATTTGAAATAGAGCTGGGCCCAGCAGTGGTGTATCTAGGGGTGGGGGGGGGGGGGGCTTACTCGCCCCCCCCCCCAAGTCGCCTCCCAAAAAAAATGTCAAGTCAAGTAGTTAAAAATCACCTAAAATAACCTTATTTTGCGAATTAGCGCCCCTCAACTGATCATCGAGCTCCCCCGCCTCATCAGCACCTCTATCCCAAGACTTCTAGATACGCCACTGGGGCTCAGGTAGGGACTTTTACAGATGGAGAGTGTAGACCACCTCAGCCCATCATAGTTAGGACTGAGGTAAGAAAATGTATGATTAGGCCAAAAGAAAATAAATTGTCTGTTTGCCCTTCGTATCAGGCGTATTAGTGGCGACTCCAGGAAAGCGAAATAGAGGAGGGACAGGGAGGGGCTTTCACAATTTTGGAAAGTAGATCACCTCAGCCCCACGATGGTTGGAGCTGAGGTAAGGAATATATGACTAACACCTAAATTGTAATTATTTTGCTTTTTTAAATTTTTTTTTTTCAAATTAGGGGTGAGGGGAGAGCGGGTCGGCTCTGCCTCAATTGAATCCGCCACTGATTATTATGGTCATTGCAAGATTGCGTCAAAGTCTGGAGTTTGTAAACTTGTGGTATCACTACTCAAATAACTCGAAATAGAGACCTGTCCGTGTCAAAGGATGTATAATTATTGTTTAATAACGGCTATATGAAATTCAATTGACTAACTATAATTTTCTGAAATTATGAAAAACAGTAATCTATGTAGGCCTATATAGATAATATTAAACACTAGTATAATATACTACGGGTCATAATAATATACAAAAGAAATAAGTCGTTTACAGTAGAAATTGTGCACTAACACGCTTCCAATTTTAACAAGGTACAGTACAATTTTTTTTCAGAATAAATTTAGCCCCTGATAACCGTTGCACCGGTTATTGAAATGTACAAACAATTGCGTTTTTACGCGGTTTTGTTCCGGAAATACGCACCGCATTCGGAAAAGTGAACAGAGTAAATTCATTACAATCTTGCGTAATTGTTATTCTTTCCCATTCGCTTTAAAAATTGGGATTTTAATTTTAGTAGAGGAGGGAAATTACTATCATGCATTCAAACATGCATATTGATTTAACCAAAATGATGATTTTTCTACTTTTTCTCTTAACTGCGGCCGTAGTATGTACTTGTTCATAGAAATCGAAAAGATAAAAAAGGCGGCAAATGGCGTTAGCCGAAATATTAATTGAGGCCGAATCTGTATTTGTCGAAATTTAAACGGAAAAAAACTGTGTTATTTGTGGGATAATACTGAGCCACCTGAACAAAATATCGCAAAACATTATGAATCCTCTTCTCAGATCTATCAGACCACTACCCCATATTCACTATTGATAAATTAGAAAAGCAAAGGAAAATCTCTTAAAGTTAAAACACTAGCAAATGAAATCCAACAAGATCCTCAGACCCAATATTTAACTGGAAACTATGTCAACAGTCTTTTTTAGACATGTTACCGAAAATGAAGGTTTAAATGATGTAGCTAGGCAACCGATCAAAAGCAGATGTATTTTTTGTTCAAGAGACACACCTTACTCATAAAAGAATAAATCCATATGATTTTGTCTGGAAAGGAGATTGTTTTCATAGTTTCGGTACCTCGTTCAGTCAGGGAGTTTCAATTCTATTTAAAACCAAATTTGAATATAAATTGATTGATAAACTTATTACCGTACTTATATTTTTGTTATTTTTGTTAATGTATATGCACCAAATTTTACTAAACAAGAAGCTCTTTTTTTTTTAGAGAATTATAACGAATTATTAAACAATTCTCTGACACCGAAAATGATAGAATAATTCTAGGTGAAGACATGAACTGTATTTTACATAGGAACCTAGACCAGAAAGATAGTGTAGATAAAATTGACACATCAGCTTATACAGTAAATTCTTTATTGGTATGATGCAACTTGTTGATATATATCGTGAGCTTAATCCCCAAAAATGCAATTTATTTGGCGCAGAAAAGCAAACCAAATTTATAGGAGATTAAACTTTTGGCTTATTCTCAATGCAATGGCTGATAACCATTTAGAGTCATGTGATATACGCCCGTCAATTCTTACGAATCACCAGGCCATTTAATTTAAATTAGACCTAAAAACAGAAAAAAAGAGGCCCTGAATTATGGAAATTTAATGCGAACCATCAACAAAATTTATTGTAGTAAAATAAAAGAGATCATTAGAAATACTACGAGTTAAATAGAACACACAACTTCAAACCCTTAAGTCCTTTGTGTGACTGGCTGCTATGCAGTATTTTCCACTGTGTCGAAATGCGCTTTACCAAAGTTTTTCTTCAGAAGTGTCTTGCGACCATCCAAAACGTTTTGGCGACCCAAATTTGTTTTGGGAGATAAATTTGTTTTAATCCCATCAGGAATTTAATATATTCAACTTAATATGTAGAAAATCTTGGTGAATCAGTAATAATGCGACATTTAGGCCTATATAGCAGTACCTGTATTTCATTAAGATCAGAGCGGTTTAAAATATTCATTTTAAAACAGATCCTTAACGTGGATTAATGTCGATTTGACATTACTGTGACAGAATTCTTTTTATGTTTTGGGTCTTAGCTGGGATGGATTTATAGCCTCGTTTCCATGTTGAGTGAGTGACGTTATCCCCTGTTAAGGAAACAATTTTACATATTCGGTTAATGTCCCAAAGTTGTCCCTTGCACAGTCCTTTCTACTGTATTTCAGAGGTTCATAATTTATTCTTTTAAAGATTGGCCATATGGTGAACCGAGCAATCAAGAGGAGGACTGTGCATGGTTACTTGCTTACTGCACCTTCTTTGGTATGGCTGATCATTGGGACGATAAGCAATGTGATAGACCTATGGCAACAGTATGTGAAAAAGGTATTTTTTAAATGTACTAAATTTGTCATATGTATGTATTCTGCTAATTGTACGGCGTTTGTGTTACATACCATATTTATTCAAAGAAACTCCCCAGAGCTTTAATGTTCAATGGAGAGAATTTATTCAAGGAAGGCCGCTTTTTGGTGTATATACGGTACGGTACCTATACTCAAATGCATGGTGCTGATAATTATTGATGCCACCACAAAACACATTTTGTTTTGTTAGTGGAGGATATTTTAAAGTAGAGCATTAATTCAAATGATTTCAATGATTTTTAATGTTATCATTATGATTATTATTACTAATTATTACTATTACGTTGTAGTATGAATTATTTATTATTAAAAATACAGTATCTTTTTGAATAATGAGCTGCTTTAATCGGATTTGAATTCCCAACGAAGCCTCAATTCCCAGTTGGTTAAGGTGTCTGCATAAGCAGCAGAAGGTCCTGGGTTCGAATCCCGGTTGAGGAAGCTTTTTTTTCACACTGGCAGATACTTCTTCTTTTATATATATATATATATATAGTATATAATAA